GGGGGGGGGCTGTGCGGAGAAAAGGGGGGGAGTGACAGGCGGGGACGTGGGGTGGGCCGCCAGCCGCAGCCCCCCGATCAATCTCCACATTACAGCTGACAGAATGGTGCTAATAACTTATTGATCCCCCCACCGTGTGCCGGGGCCTCCGCCGGCCCTGAAAGCCCTGCCATTGATTGGCTTACAGGCCGATGCAGCTGGGAGAGGGAAGGGAGGAAGGGGGAGGGTGATGGAGATGGGGAGAGAGGCGCTTCTGCTCACGCTGAGGGGAGGATGCGCCACTGCCATCACGTGCACATGTACACACACAGTAACACTGCTCCACTGTTTGTCATGTCCTATGTCTTTTCATCAGGAAGAGAGGAATTAAGAGAGGTGAAGAGAGAAGAACAGGACTAAAGAAGTCACGGGAAGAGAAGACAGTGTAGTCAACTGACTAAAATATGGCTGACCTTAAAGTGAAAGCCTGTGACATTGTCATATAAATAAATGTCCCTTTTGCAACTCAGTATAGTTATGTAACACAATAAAAACTAAACCTGCAGGCTATTTATGCAAGCTTTTGTTTTTGTCGTTTTAAAGGCCTTCTGTTGGTTCCTTCCTGTAGAAATCGTCTGGTGCACAGGTGGCGATGTTTCCACAAGAACTGCAGTGGCTGGTTTGTTTAGAGTCCTGGTCTGTGACAGATAGCTACTTAAAAAAGTTTTAATATTGCTAATTACTTTGTCTTAATTATAATGGGATTTAGATATTCTCTAATAAAAGATTTATTTCTGGTCATAACTTACACCTCATAATGAAATATTGCCAATAAGGAAATTCTAAATAATAAAAATATATATTCCTTTTTTAATAAGCTGGTGTCCATTCTTAAATGCACTGCTTTCTTTGTCTAATCTTTCCATGTCAACCCAGCATTCATCTGTCTTCTTCCACTTCCACTGTAACTTTTTAGTATGCATATTAATATTCTTATCAATACAAGGCTCAAGTCACAGGTTATGAAAGGCTATTAAGGTTATAATGCAAGTTCACAAGTTTGCTTACTGATGTCAGTTCTGAGAATGTAACATTACATTATGTTAATTTTTATAAGAGTTTACCTGACACATCTAAATTATTAAATTACCTACCACAAACACAAAGTATTGCTAGTACTGTTAAACACTAAAGCTGGCACAGACACACACACAAAAGGACTTGAAACTTTCGCTTGGTCCAGTATGTAACATTTAGG